ATATATATATATATATATATATATATAATTTTCTTGTAATTTTCATATCATATGTTTTTTTTTAATGATTGTTTACTGTTGTATTGATAAATATCTCCTGGAGGGTAAACTATATCTTGGCTGCAAGTATCAAGCTGAGAAATCCTTTGTTTTCTACAACTGATAGTGGTTGGTTGTTAATTACGATGAAGTTTAGCAACTTCTCTGTAAACATTTGAGCTCCGGGGCTTCAGCGATGTGTTTTTCTTGTTCAATCCGAAGCAAGCAGTCTGATCTCAGTCAGCCACGCTCAGTCTGCCCCTCCTCAGACACGGACAGACTGAGCGTGGCTGACCGAAATCAGACTGCCTTCTCCGGACTAAATGAAAATAACAGGCCGCTGAAGCCCCGGATCTCAAATGTCCATCGTAAAACTAACTTTACCGCGGTTTAATGTGGTGCTATGGCTCTGCAGACATTGCACGTTGCTGTCTTGTTTTGTGGTGTTTCTGGTGTAAAATACTTCCACACAGCGGACGTTTCGATGAAAAGTTGGTTAGCTGTTAGCCACAGTGCTGCTCACTCAGTCCTCACGTTGTAGCTGGCTGCAAACTATGAAATGGATTTCCTAAATGTGAGGCAGATCTTATTACTCTGGGTTCATGAAACACGCCTCTGTTCAGGAAATCCATTCCATAGTTTGAAGCCAACGTGCAGAGCAACCACAGACATGCATCATGGATCAGAAATATCGGCAGGTGGATCGGAAAATCCGATACGTAAATTATGCTGGTATCGGAGCCGATACAGATACTGGATCGGATCGGTCCCATCCCTACTTTTAACTCATTTTTAATATGGTCAGTGTCATGGATGTTTGCAATGTTTATATATTCCAGAAATAACTAAATTATTTCAGTTTGTTTATTTGGAATAACTTTTCATTCTGTCTTTGTTTTGCATTCACTCTTATTCTTATTTGTTTTTTCAAGGAGGTGCTCATAAAACAAATCCACAAGGTTAGTGTTCGTCATCCTCTTAAAGTTTAATCAATTTTTGTTCAGCTCAGAACTCATGGTTAAGGAAACTGAAATAATTTAACATGTTGTGGCCTCCAGTCATTTAGTTTGCACATTATGTAAATATTACTCAGGAATATGTTTGCTTTACATATAGAAGTAGTTGAATATGCTTATTAGCGCACTGTTTGCCAAAGCTAAAGTTGAATCATGTCTTTTTTACAGACAAGTCAGTGCATGTGGCTGATGCAGGCTCTGGGATTCTTGCTCTCTGCTCTCCCTGTGGCAGACATTTTAAGAAATCTTCATTCTCTCATCACGCCCTACATTCAGCAACTGGAGAAGCTTGCAGATGAGACGGTCAGTACACAAATCAAAGGAAAACAACACAAACATGCTGAACAGTCACAGTTAGGACTGTGGATTCAAAGAACAGGCCCAGAGTCTGTGTGGTGTCACTGCAGTAGGACATATCTCTGCAGGACCAGATTGGAATAGACCCTGCACCATGGGCAGTGACATATGGAAGTGGCATAAGACACACTTACTTTCTCTCTTGTGAACATGCACTATACAGTGAAATAATTGTAGCGTCCAATCAGTAAAGTTTCTATGCTCTTACAGTAGGTGTGTGTGTGTGTGAAGAAAAGTCTTCACTTGGGTTAGATGACACTTATAATAGAGCCTGGATTTTCAGCCTTTTGTGCTAAAGTAAAAATTCTTTAGCAGCTTTTATCTAAAAATAGTTTATTTACGCGTAGTAGAATAGAGAAGTATTTTTACTGACATCTTGATCTGACAGCAGTTGGATGGGCTGAGTATAGAGATGTCACTTTGGATTCTTTTTTGTTTGTTTGTTTTTGTTCCTGTCTCACATCTCCACCTTCTGTATAATAACACACTGCCTGATCCATCCAGGGGTGTCAAACTCACTTACAAAATGGGGCCAAAATTAAAACCTTTTTCAAACTATGGGCCAATTTCAGAATCTACATTAACTCAAATCAGATACCCAACATATTTTCGTGGTCACAGTATCATCTTGGGGGCCAGATATGATGTCAACGAGGGTCACATTTGTCCCCCGGGCCTTGAGTTTGACACATATGATACCACCCCTGGCAAAAATGTTGGAACCACCACTCCTGGAGGATAATCTTTGAATTGTTTAATTTTGTATACAAAACGGAGACGTCTTTGGAGATCTGTTGCACACACACATGTCTAACACATGTTACAGCAGGCATACATCCAATAACTACACTAAATCAAACAAAAATATTCCTCAGAATCAACAATTTATTATGATGTTTCTTAATATATATTATGAACTATCAAAATGATCAAACAAGAAATATTGTTTTTACTAACCAGAGACCCCCTTAAACATTATAGAAATGTTTTTGTTTTCTTCTTTCGGCTGCTTCCTTCATCAGGGGTCACCACAGTGAACTAACTTGCACGAAGACAGCAATTATTATTACGCTGGATGTCCTTCCTGACACAACCACAGACCACCGAGCTGACACAACCTTCTGTGTGGAGCAGAGAGCTGTTATCTAGGGCACCCAGGGGAGCAGATGGTGGGGGTTAAGGGCCTTGCTCAAGGGCCCAGAATGGGGCAAATGAGTGTGGAGACAGGTGTGGGTGCTTCACCTATCCCACTTACATTTTGATGTTGTTAGTACCGGGAGTTGAACCAGTGACCTTCCGATCACAGGCCCACCTTCTCTAACCTCTGCATCACCTTTATTATAGAAATATTACTGTTGCTATATACAAAAAGTTAAAATATTCAGGTCTCAGTAGAATAATAACAACAAGGACATTCTTGCGTAGAGCCTACAGAGTCACTGTTGTTGCTGTCAAAGAGCTCAGTGTTTCCTCCATGCTCTCTGGATATCGAGCTGAACTGTGTGAGGGCATAGCCACTAAGGCTGACTGAAGTGTGTGAGGAAATCACGGGGATCACAGACATCTGCCTGTGTGTGTACAGCAATGAGGATGCAGGAAAGCGCAAGGTGGCTCAACCTGACCAATAAAGTCGGACAATAAAAAAAGGACATATTTGACATGCAGATTGTGCATGAGGGCATTTTGAACTCTGCTTTAGCCTCCTAACAACAGTGGAGTTGAAAAGAAACACCCAGTCGCAGGAATAAACAACAGATTTATTACCAAGGGAATATCAATGATGACGCACAGTAACTTTTAGTTAGCTTTAAAACAATAGGTAATCACACAGAGGATCGCTAAAATGAGTTTACGTAAAGTTTATGTTTTGTAATTGACATCAGGCAGACATTTAATGTGTTGCACTCCACCTCAGCCCAGCTGAGTTCTGCTGCATGCCTCTTATGTTTCCACACCGTCATTTATGAAAACTTACATCCATGCAGGATGTAACGGCTTTCATCTATGATTTATAAATAGCCCGAGGGAGGATTAAAGCAAACTGGTCTGTGTCCCCAATTCATGGAACTGTTTTATGAAAAGCATACCATCTCTTCAGTTTAAGATCCCCCAAATGGTTAAAGCCCCAGCCCTCCACAGTAACCCTGCCTGGGCTGGAGGTAAGATGATGTTGACCGGACCCATAAAGACTCTTGAGCAGTTCCTCTGGGACAACCTGCCCAGGTCATCAGGCCAGGAGAAAGAATAGGTTGGCCTGACAGCACTTCCCCTCTCACAGGTGAAAGTGCTGGATGTTCCCCATTCACTTCTGCCCACCTGGCCAAAGAGCGTGCGTCTTTCCAACTCCCTGCTGCTGTATGTTTCTTCAGCTTGTGGAATGGAAACCCAACTGTTGGGACAGCAGGCTCTGTCCCACCTATGAGTCACACAAGCATGCACGTACAAAAATAACCATGTTTTACTGACGTTGTTCAGGACAAGGGTCTAAGGCACAAATAAATACACTGAAAACCCACATTGTTGCTGTTCAGATTTTGCAGGCTGTCTTTCACAGATTTTTTAAATTTTAGTCAAATTTCTTCATTCCCCACAGATGTCTAACCATTTGCTCTAATCAAGAATGACCAATTTCATTTCAGGGACAGAGAGTTCAGTACCACCCTGTTGATGTAGGATGTTGACCATGTGCTGGTTCCCAGAATAAAACCTCAATGACACATTCCTTCTTGGCTCTGTACAGGCTGTTGCATCCTTAAAAAGTCTTAAAATATCTTTGGTCCATGTGTCTAAAATTAAGGCCTTAAAATTTCTTAAATTCATTAAAAATGTAAGTTTGCAGTTTGCTGACCAATTCAGAGCAGGGGGATACCATGGTCCTTAAACCAGACACTGGTAGCTTTGGCACTGTGTGCAGGTGTCAAGTCTTGTTGGAAAATGAAATCTGCATCTCCATAAAGTTGGTCAGCAGCAGGAAGTGCTCTAAACTTCCTGGTAGACGGCTGCATTGACCTTGGACTTCAGAAAACACAGTGGACCAACACCAGCACATGACATGGCACCACAAACCATCACTGACTGTGGAAACTTGACATTGGACCTCAAGCAATATGGATTTTGTCTCTCCTCTCTTCCTCCAGACTCTGGGACCTTGATTTCCAAAGGAAATGCAAAATTTACTTTCATCAGAGAACATAACTTTGGACCACTCAGCAGCAGTCCAGTCTTTTTGTCTTTAGCCCAGGCGAGACACTTCTGACTCTGTCACTTGTTCAAGAGTGGCTTGACACAAGGAAGCAACAGCTGAAACCCATGTCTTGCATATGTCTGTGTGTGGTGGTTTTTGAAGCACTGACTCCAGCTGCAGTGCACTCTTGGTGAATTTCCCCCACATTTTGGAATGGGTTTTGTTTCACAATCCTCTCCAGGGTGCGGTTATCCATATTGCTTATACACTTTTTCTACCACATCTTTTCCTTCCCTTCGCCTCTCTATTAATGTGCTTGGACACAGAGCTCTGTGAACAGCCAACCTCTTTAGCAATTACCTTTTTTGTCTTTCCCTCCTTGTGCAAGGTGACAATGGTCGTCTTTTGGACAACTGTCAAGTCTGCAGTCTTCCCCATGATTGTGTAGCCTACAGAACTAGACTGTGAGATCATTTAAAGGCCTTTGCAAGTGTTTTGAGTTAATTAGCTGATTAGAGTGTGACACCAGGTGTCTTCAATATTGAACCTTTTCACAATATTTAATTTTGAGATACTGAATTTGGGGTTTTCATTAGTTGTCGGTTATAATCATCAACATTAAAATAAACATTTGAAATATATCAGTCTGTGTGTAATGAATGAATATAATATACAAGTTTCACTTTTTGAATGGAATTACTGAAATAAATCAACTTTTTCATGATATTCTAATTTTATGACCAGCACCTGTACATACACACACTGGCACAGATAGCTCCTGAGACATGTGCCAGGGTCGTCATGAGTCAAGTCACTTAGACTCGAGTAATACTTGCTCATAGTTCTATTTATTTTTTTAATTTATTTTTTGGTCTCCCTTTACTTTTCTCTTCCAACGGAGTACGGTCATCTTGTTAACAAGTAATTTCCCAGTTAAAAGTATTTTTTTCCTTATTTTTTCAGCCTAATCCCTCCAATAAGCTGGCGATCATTCACATCCTGGGGCTGCTTTCTAATCTGTTCACCACGCTTGACATTAGCAAGCAAGATGATGAGTCAGCTGATTGTTCTGTGCCACCTGTCAAAACAACCCCACCTCCACTTGGTCCAAATCCGGTCAGTCACCACCTACCATTCATTCTTTTAAGCAGGACTGGACAGTTGATTATTATGATGGCTAATATGCAATATTTATATATTTATGTATGATCGTTTTGTAACACGGTACAATCCAGGTTAATGGAATTTAAAATTTTTAATGATTTTTGGGGCTGTATGAGTTCCATTTTTCACAACACCATGCTATGCTGTCTCCAATATTAGATACATTTATCAACATGATCTGGAGGCACTCGAAGAATCTTACTCTGGAACACAATCATAGTAATTCTGATGATAGACTTAAACCCATGTGCACATGTTACTGCAGTGTTACTTTGTATTTTGTTGACTTTTCATTTACGGTACTTTGTTTAATATATGTTTTTATGATTAGGTGGTGGTGGTTTTGCAACAAGTTTTTGCCCTTATTCAGACGGTACTCAGCAAGTGGCTCACTGACTCGCAGGTCGTAGAGGTATGCTGTGTTAGCCAGTTATTTTCATAGTTAATATGTTTGTAATGTGCACATTTCAGTGTATGTACATTTTGATGTCCTGCAGGCAGTGTGTGCCATCTTTGAGAGGTCGGTGAAGACTCTGCTGCATGACTTTGCTCCCATGGTTTCTCAGCTCAGTGAAATGCTTGGACAGATGTACAGTACAATTCCCCAGGCCTCAGCACTTGACCTCACACGACAGGTACACACTCAACTTGTGCAACTACATATACTTTGTCATATCATATCCATCCATGCATTATCTTCTGCTTGTTCTGAAATTGGATCGTGAGGGCAGATAACAACTTAAAAGAGAGGCACTTACATCTCTTTCACCAGCCATCTCTTCCAGATCATCTGGGAGGACTCCAAGACATTCTCAGGCTGGCTGAGAGACATCGTCTCTTCAGTGTGCACTGGGTCTTCCCTGGGGTCTCCTCCCAGTTGGGAATGCCCGCAAAACTTCCCCAGGGAGGTGTCCAGGAGGCGTCTTTACTAGATGCCCAAACCACCTCAACTGGCTCTCTTGATGTGGAGGAGCAGCCGCTCTACTGAGTCTCTCTTGAATAACTCAACGTTTCATCCTATATCTAACGGAGAATTCAATTCAGTTTATTGATATAGCATCAAGTCACAACAGAAGTTTGTTTCAGGGGCACTGTACCAAAACATTCACATACATTAAAATAGCCAGTTAGTAAAAGTTATCTTTTTAATGAAGCCAGCAGATTGTGTTATCTTCACCTTGTCACAGTCTTCTATTTAGCCACACTGCAGAGAAAACTAATTTCAACCACTTGTATTTGTGACCTTGTTCTTTCAGTCACTACCCAAAGTTCATGAACATAGGTGAACGTTGGAACGTAGACCAACCGGAAAACTGAGAGCTTCACCTAGCAGCTCAGATCCCTCTTTTTCACAATGGACCAGCATAAAGTACCATACTATACATGCAATTCTGCAGAAACCTCACCAAGCTGTCTGTCGATCTCCTGCTCCATTCTTCTCTCCCTCAAATATAACCCCAAGATACTTGAACTCCTCCACTTGAGGCAGAACCTCACCCACAACTCAGAGAAGGCAATCCACTCTTTACCTACTGAAGACCATGGCCTCAGATTTTGAGGCGCTGATCCTCAATTCCAGCCACTTGACACTCTGCTGCAAACCACTCCAGTGAGAATTGGAGATCATGGTATGATAATGCCAAAAGGACCACATAATCTGCATATAGCAGAGATGGAATCCTGAGGCCACCAAACCGAACACTCTACTCCTACTGGCTACACAAAGAAATTCTGTCCATAAAAATTATGAACGGTATTGGTGACAACAAAAGCCCTGGTCAACAAAAGCCCTGGTGAAGTCCAGCTCCAACCCTGAAGGGTTCTGACTTACTGCTAACAATGCAAACCTAACTCTCATACTGCTTGTATAGGGATTGAATGGCTTGTAGCAACGAACCCTCAGTCCCATACTCAGAGGACCCCCACACAGTGTACCTCAAGGAATATGGTCGAAAGCCTTCTCCAAGTTCACAAAACACATGTAGACTGGTTGAGTAAACTCTCATGTCCCTTCGAGGACTCTAGTGAGGGTAAAGAGCTCGTTCAGTGTTCCACAGCCTGAATGGAACCTGCATTGTTCCTCTTTTTTGTCCTGAATCTGAGGTTTGACCATCAACACCCTATGATCCAACTTCTTGAAGAGTACAATTACCATTTTGTCAATCCAGTGACAATGCCTCCAATGTCCACACAATGTTGTAAAGGCATATAGATCTAAATAATAATAATAATAATACATTTAATTTGTATAGCACTTTTCTAAATACTCAGACACTTTACATGAGTTAGTCTAGACAGCCTAGCAACATCCAGAGCCATGACAAACTCAAGGCGGATCTCATCCACCCCCAGAGCTCTGCCGCCATGGAGCTTTTTAACTACCTCGACGACCTCAGCCCTGATTATTGACAGACCGACCCCCAAGTCCCCTGATGCAGCTTCCTCCATGGAAGAAGTCTTGGTAGGATTGAGAAGATCCGAGGTTTCTTTCACCACTCAACGACATCACTAGTTAAAGTCAACAGCACCGCACCTCTACTATACATAGTGGTTGTAAAGTGCTACTTTTCTCACCTCAGCTGCCTGGTGGTTTGCCAGAATCATATTAGAGCCGATCAAGAGAAACCATCCGAGGCCTCACCAAACTCCCACATTTGAGCTTTTGCCTCAGCAACAGCCATGGCTTCAGCTTGCTTGGCTTTTCGATACCCCTCAGCTTCCTCTGGTCTCCTACTAGCCAACAAGGCCCATTTGGACTCCTTCAGCTTGATGCCCTCCGTCACTCAGGTTGTACACCACCAGGTGTACACCCTTGGTGTTACACTTACACCCTAGTCAGTACCTCTCAACCTTGCACACAAGCTCAGACTCTTTCCCCACCAGAGAGCTGACATTCCATTCAAAGAACCAGCTTTAGTAAGACATGGTCAGAGTGCCAAGTCCTCTGCCTTTGACTACTACTCATGGCATCGTGCACCGGACCCATATGGCCCCTCCTGTAGGTGTTGGGCCCACAGGAAGGCAAACCCTTGTAACTCTTTTGGGCTGAATCTGACTGGGCCCCATGTCCAGTCACCAGGTGCTTGCAGACAAGCCCCTTCCCCAGACCTGGCTCTGGGGTGGGGCCCTGGTAACCCATGCAAAGGACACTGAGCTCCTTGATCATTTCTGTTGTTATAAGTATTATGAATCACTTTTTACCTGGTCTGTCACTTATAGAGATTTTAGTGCTTTCTTAAGTTAGAGTGGTAAATAAACTAATAACCCACTTATGAGTGAATTAAAGACTATTAAACATTTACAGTGGAAAATAATAGTTTTCTTCCTTGAAGTATTAAAATTTACTTTATCTTTAAAGTTTACTACCAAAGTCAAATAAAGGAACATATTTGAATAATTTATTTTTAGGCATTTATTGAGCTCCTCTTGCTTAAAAGCACTTTGATCGCATTAAATTACTGTTAGTTTATTGATTTTTGAAGAAATCTTGTACATTTACACACCTGTTTATTAGGGGTTGTTATCAAGTGACAGTGACAATAAGCTTGTATTAATTACTCAAAACTAAGGTTGACATGTTTTTTGATTGCAGGTTTCCTCAGCAAAAATCTATCTTGTCCAGCTTTAAATGTATAAATACCAAAGATGTCCATTACAAAAAAATAAAAAAATAGGATGCTATGGCAGTTGTGTGAAAATATGACAGATTTTTCTTCATGCATTTTCTTTTTTGCTGTCAAATTGGTTATATCTAGAACCAGATGCAACTAAAATGGGAAAAAAAATAGTTTGTATATAAAAAATTTCTAATATTAAGCAGTAGTGATATAGAACATTATATAGCCTCCAATCGTCTTCCTATTATATGGGTGCAAGTATAAATATCTAGTGTCTGAATTGTTCTCCTGCTGTTTCAGATGGTGCATATATTTTCCAGTGAGACAGACTATTTTCCACCAATCAAGGCTCTGTTTGAACTGGTTACCTCGGTAACGCTGTCTGTCTTCCAGCAAGGTAGGGCTTCAAGCACAGGTGGGAATCTGTGCTGTAAACAATTTGTGTTTGGATGAGAAATAAAAGCTTCTGACCATGTTTGATTTCACAGGAGTGTAAAATAAAATTTTGGGGAAGCAAATAGAAATGCAGAATTATGAACAGGTTTGTCAAAATATGAAAAAAAAAAAACAATTTAATTTGTGTTCAATGCACATTTTATGGGCATTTTCCTTTAGTACTCTACTTATTAGAAATTTTAAATACTTCAAATGGGAAGGCAGCCAATTGAAAATAATTAAGCATGTATATTTGTATGTGTATGGCTGCAGTAGCTTGGCGTTCTTGTAATCCTGAGGTTGTGGGTTTGAGTCCAGGTTGCATCAGTGGGCATCTGGCGTAAAACAATTGCCATAATTTTCATGCGAGTTCGTTCGCTGTGGCAACCCCTGAAGAAGGGAGTAGCCGAAAGAAACCTACTGTGTGTGCGTGTGCATGCGTGTGCGCGCACGCTGTGTGTAGACCCGTCACCCCTTTCATTTGAGAAAACTATGCTTTCTAGTTTTTATATTTCTTTAAAGTATAGCCTCCTCAAATGATTGGGGTGGCCAAAGATCAAACTTTGGTGGCCAAGGTCATTGGTCACCCTCTAGCTCTGCCATTGCACTTGGGAGTGGATAATTTTGCTTCCTCTGCTTGCCACAATCTGTAAATCTGTGCTGTCTCCAACAAGAAAAAAACTATCTCTGTTCTTGTACACAGTTTAACTCTTACCCAATTGAATATTTTGCACCAAAAACATTAAGGTTTACTTGCATGCCTTGTTCAATTCCAGTCCAGAAAAACACTCATTTTGAAAACTACAAACATTAACTTAATTCAGGGTCTGGGTACATCAGTGTATCTGCTTATTAAATAATAAATGTGAAAATAAAAACAAGATACAGTCACAAAAAACACCAGTTTATTCATTTGACTGACATTTACCTTGGCAGGGACGCCCGTTTAATATATTTGCAGCCTCTGCTGTGCTAGGACTGAAACTGGACTCTTCATCACAGCCTTCTGAATCAGATTTGTGCTGTGTCGAGAGAGTGCAGTATGACCACTAGTGTTAAAGGGTTTTTTATTTGATTTGAAGGCATGTTTGGAGTCTTGAAACTTGACTAGGTTGGGTGATTATCACAGACCCTGTTTAGACCAGACACTAACATGTGCTTCAGTAAATGTGTTTAGACGTGGCATTAAAATGGATTCTGAGTGACTTCATGTGATTAGAGCTCAGGTAGAGCTCAACATGGAGATGTGCATTAGTCAGTGTTGCACAGTCAGCTGACAACTAGACAACAAACTGGACATTAACAGGTCTATTGATGTTGTCATAAAGTCACAAGAGCAAATCCAACTACAAACCATCCCCAGTAGTCTAACAAGGTTAATTCAGGTCATCTGGATGGATTTTTCTTTGTTGAAAATGACCAAATGTTAGGCTGATGGTCCTCTTTTACCTGTGAACAGCTAGGCCTGTCGCGATAAACAACAAATCAATTAATCGCATGATAAATGAAAATTATCAACCTCGTTTTAGTTTATCGTCTTTATCGTTTCTTCATATCTCTCTCTTTCTACTGAAGACACAGCTCAACTCTGGTGCTCTTCACTGACCCCTCCCTTCCTCTTTTCTTTTTAAAATCCGTTTTAACGATCCAAAATCACCTTTTTCGATCGTTAAAAGCAGCTAAGCTGAGAAGCTAAGCTACGAGCTAAGCTAACAGGCTGACCTCAGGGAAAAAACCTCCGTCTTGTCGAAGCTTCAAATTCACGGTTGAAACCTTCGTCTAAAAAGTTTTTTTTCTCTGCAAAAAGAAGCTGAGAACTTGTTTTTTTTATTTTTTTTTATTAAAAGCTTTGTTTGACAAATGCTATGCTAAAGAGCTCAAACCACACAGAGCATCCGACATTTTGAGAACCAAAAAACTGGAACGAGAAACAGCCCATGTCAGGTCAAGGGGTCTCTCTCTCATTTTTCTTAGAGATACGCTGCTTGCTTCCTCATTATCCATCCTTCGGTTCAGTCTTATACTGCCATCCAGTGGTCAAAAAAGGTATTACACATCAAATTAACCAACATTTCTTCTTCAATTTGACAATCACTAATTATTGTCAAATTTCAAACAATATTATTGTTTATCGCAATAATTTCTGAGACAATCACCCAGCAAAATTTGTTATCGTGACAGGCCTAAGAACAGCTAGTTCTGGCTGTCACCAGCACTGGTTGATCCACTATGAGAAGGTGCCGTTTATAAGACTGAGTTTACTGCAGCTTCTCAGACTGAACAAGTCTTTGGGATAAAAGACGAAACGTTTCAACAAAGAAGAATCCGTCCAGAGGACCTCACTCAACCTTGTTAGATTTTTCTACCTGGATTATTGAGCATGCATCAGGACATTCCCAGTAATTCACTGATTATTAAACTGTCAAAAGTTTTATTTTTCTTATTCCCACTGATTATTATATCATTACCAGTAATTCAAACGATCGAAGTTTTGCATGGGGATAATCAAGAACAAGAATTCCAGATTCATGCTCAATAATCCAGGTAGAAAAATCTAACAGGTCCTCTGGACGGTTTAACTTGACCTGACTTAACTTTGTTGGAAGAACAAGAATTATTCAGCGTAGTAATTCTGATGCTTGTCTGAAGTCAACATCAGGTCAGTAGATACAACGTTGCCCAAAATAAATCTGTGTTCAAACAGCTGATCAGCTGCCAAACCTCTTCTATTATAACCTGAGCAGTCAGATCTAAATGCATCCTAATCTGTCTTGACTGTGTTCACACCTGTATTTAGTGTTACCACTTTGTGATCAGATCATCCAGAACCTATTAGCTCTAGTCTGAACATGGTCAAAAACACATTTGACCGCAAGCCTCTCATTGGTGTTTCTCATTACACTTAAGACATCAGAATGAGCATAAAGTGTCTGCAGTTTCAATGTGGATTCTTCTTCTCAGAGGCTTGCAGAGCCGATGTGCAAGATTTATTTGGAATTTATACTACATGTAAATGTGTTGTTACCTGTAAAGATTAGTTTATTACTGACTTGCACAGTGCTGAAAGGACCCTTTACAACAACCTTCTTCTGTTAGGCATTTATTTAAAATACGAGACAAACGTGGTGTTTGATAAAGCTGGAGGTGCCGATGGAAGGAGGTAAAGGGGGTTTGTTCAGTTTTGGTGCCTGTTTTCCTCCATACTGTCACAGTAACAGAGGTGCCTCCTACTCCAAACCCGCCTTTGCTTTTTAGGTTTCTTCTTTTTTATCTTGTTACTTTGTTCCCTTCTAAGCAGACACACGTCTGTCTTCCGCCTGTTATTTGTTTTTGGTTGGTCTCTTTTTCCAAGACTCTGCCAAAGCTTCATAAGCCCCCCACCCTTCCCTTCGTTCCTTACTCACCTGTAAATTATTTCAATGTAATACTTTTCAGTTTTCTTTTATTTCTACATGACTGTTGAATCTATTAAGTTGCTGTTTGTAAATTATTATTATTATTATTATTATTATTATTCTCTTATGATTTCTTAAGTTTCATCTTTATTATATTATAGGACCCAGGGATCATCCTGATATTGTTGATTCATTTATGCAACTCCAAGCTCAGGTGTGTTTTTGGTTTCTTATTTCATTCACTTTGGTTTTCTCTCTTTCTCTCTTTTTCTAGTTTCTCTCTGTTTCTCTGTCCTATTCTCTATCTTTCTATCCTCCTTTCTGTTCTATATAACTGGGCCCTTAGCTGTCCCATCACATAGGCGAGGCAGTAAAATGAAATACTTGAGGGAGCTGGGTTGACCTCTTCAAAAGCTTTGCCACTAAAACAGCGTTCAATCATCATTAAAGTGTTAATTTTGTCCGCAAAAAAAAAACTGTATAGTGAATTTGATATGCTTAATAATTACAAAACAATAATGCACAATTGTATCCTTAAAAAACTATTTTATTATTTAAAGTTAATTCTACAATTGCTGCCCAACAATGGTATGCATATAGATGAAGATGTAGCAATGAAAGAAAACTGCATGTGTTGAAAAGTCATGTGACTGTGTTTTGATGATGACCGTCATCAGACCAAATATATAACAAAGGTATCAGTGTAGGCACTTAGCTGGTCCCATGTCAGTAGGCTGTGGTAGATAGAGACAGTTATAGATTTAAATTGATAAATATAGATAGACATAGACAGATAAATGGACATAGATAGACAGACAGACAGACAGACCGATAGACAGACATAGATAGACAGATAGACAGACAAATATAGATCGAGATAGATGGATAGACTGGAGATATATAGAGATAGATGGATAGATAGAGAGATAAAGAGATAAAGCTAGAGAGAGATAGATATAAATATAGATATATAGATGGATAAATAGATGATGGATGGATAGATGGATAGATACTTAGAGAGATAGATGGATAGATACTTAGAGAGATGATGGATGGATAGATGGATGGATGGATATTTAGATAGATAGATGGATGGATGGATGGATGGATATTTAGATAGATAGATATTTAGATAGATGGATGGATGGATGGATGGATGGGTATATATTTAGATAGATAGATATTTAGATAGATGGATGGATGGATGGATGGATGGGTATATATTTAGATAGATAGATATTTAGATAGATGGATGGATGGATGTTTAGATAGATAGATGGATGGATGGATGAATGGATATTTAGATTGATTGCTACTTAGATAGATACTTGTCTCAATTCCCCCCCAAGGATTAGTCATTTGATAGTTCATCGTGTCTGGATAGACAGGGATTAAGTGCAACTTGGAGTGGAATAGAGTCATAGAGTCAGTCGTTGTATCAACACAAAGCTGCTGTAATGAAGCCGTTAGATCCAGAAGATCTGGGTCAGAGTTGATGTCTGACCTGACCTCACACATCTGACTGAGTAAAGATGGTCATACCTGGTTGGCTGCAGGAGAACTCCAACGTGGCACAGGCAGTCGTTCAAATTCTCACTAGAGTACTACTCTTCAAATATGTACAGCATTTTCTATAACATTAATATTACTGTCAGACAAGGTCTTTTTTTAGAGTGGTGACTACATTAAAAATTACTATCTTCATTAATGTCGAGAATTTTCCCAGTCCATTCAATGAGCCATGTAATTAGTTGTTTATGATGCTTAAAGAATTTAAAAAAAATGCATATTTTACCATTAAAATGTACATATTAAAAGGACTAAATCACCACTATTTTCTACAACATTGTTAGGAAATGCTGCATTTTTAAACTAATATTTAATGAAACCAATCAAATTTAAATACGTAGTTAATTGTGCCCACTATGAGAAGCAGTATTGTGTTCCCAGGTTAGTCTCTGAGCCCAGTCCTCTGAAGTCATTCCAGCCCATAGCCAATCAAAGCCCGAATGAATTAATATTCATCTAATATTAATCAGCTCTAAAAATTGGCTGATGGCTCTTGTTTTCTATTTTTGTCTTTTGTCTTCATTCTTCCTTTGTTTTCTATCTTTGGATAGATCTGACCTTCATTTCTCTCCCTTTCCCTCTCTTCCTCTTCTCTTCTCCTCCATTCTAAATGAGTTCATTATTATGAGATAAGTTGTCGTTCTCTTTATCTGCACATGTTATTACTTACACACTTCTGTTGCATATTCTGTCCAGTCAACCAAAAACAAAGAAAAGTAATGTTTCAGCTGTAATGGAGTTCAAGAAACGACCCCATTACCTTTAGTTTGATTTAAGTTTCAAATTGTTTCAAAGTTAGATATTCTGCAATTTGTTTGTTCTACCGGAACAGTTAGGCATTGGAGGATCTCTGTACGAGTATGGATCCAGTTTATCCTGAACAGATGGAGAGAGCACTGACTGTAGCCTGGTAGGCAGATCTGCATTTCTGTTGCTGTCAGACCTGGCTACCAGTCTTAGTGGGTATTGTTAATGGCACTATTTTCAAGGAGCTTATGCAGTGGAACGTGGTGAAAAAGTATCGTGTGGTTTGGGCTAACAGAAGCATTAAGTTTGTTGCCTGTATCTGCCTCATAGGCCCTCAAACGGAAACCTGATCTGTATTTGTCTGAGAGTCTTGATGTGAAAGCAGTGTTCCACTGTGGTAAGTGTGCACAAGGCTTACACAGAGCTACACACGAATGTATTTGTACTGACGGGGACATTTTACCTAGAAACATTAAAGCATAAGCTGAACATGTTTGATATCGGCCCTTAGCAGTTCTGTCGTCTTCTTCTCATCTCTAGGAATCCTGTCACTCAAATTCCCCGAGGCTCCGACAGTCAAATCTACGTGCTTGTTCTTTGTAAGCGCAGTTACTAAACTAAAAGCTTGCAAACCTGCTTTTGTACATTGTCTCTAAACTTGATGATTGTCTGTGTGTCTGCTGTAGACTGAGCTGCTGCCCCACTGCTCAGATGTGCCTCCGTTAGCCAGGGTGGTGCAAGAAGACGGCAAGTTGCTGGTACGAGCCGTGCTAGAGGTACGTTTTACACAACTCATCTGTAATTTCATGCCCAGTTCTCTGCTTCGTCTTCACCCGTTTGAAACTCAGGACATGAATCCCTCCATCAGTCTGACAACATGACAACATTCAGTCATTAGTTACATTTGTGCTACTATTCTTCACAACGTTTTTTCATGCCTGAAAGAAGCCGTGAAGAGCATTAACCTAATGTTACATGATGTGCTTGCCGTTCACATTGGATTGTACAGAGCATCAAGTGCGATATATTGATAAATGTCGTATGTACAGTAGGGATGTGCAATATGGCATAAAATTCATATCATGATCTCTATTGTGATGGGTGGCGGTAATGATGTATATCATGATATGTTTTTGGTATAAAACTTGCAATAGGAGTGAAAAAAAAAACCATGTTGTGTCATTTTGCCAGCATTTATTTTGAAAACTGTTATACCACAAAGTAATCTCAATCAAGAAAATTCCACTACTAGGTCCAGAGAGTTTTTAAATAAAAAACAAATCAAGTATTGGGCTTCTTTCTTGTAGTGCAAAACAGTGCAAAATATATCAAATGTAGTATTAGTAATATGTTTTAAACAAAATAATGTTAACTCTTAACAGTTTATTCTCACTTAAGAAATGAACAGCAATAGAGCAACATTTTACATGCAAAAAAGTGCACACTGAAAACACTTAACAAAATTCAAATTCAAAATCTTGCTGTCATTTGTTAGTCTAAAGATTGTTGACCAAGAACACTAGATTGTTCACAGTCTCTGGCTTTACAGAGACCGGTGGCATGAAACAATATGTTGCCACCGATGCCCTTTCTGAAGGAGCACTCGTGGCTGGAATGCAAAGGTATTTCTTGGCCAGTCTTGCCATTCTTGGAAAATTAGCCTGCTGCAGTCTCCACCTGTCCAGTGGGTCAGTTTCTGACAGACGAAGGTTTGGCTTCAAAAGCATAGGGGGGTTCCTCCAGTGGGCGTCTCCTTCCATTTTAAGGAGAGCTGACACAAAATGGCCACCAGTTTCCTGTGGCTTTGACCAGAGAGGGTCTCGCAGTAAAATTACACAACACAACATTCTTTGACAGATCAGAGAGCAGGTTCAACCCTTTTTTTTTTTTTTAGCACAAATGTACTCTTTAAAGCTGGCCGACGCTTTCTTTAACTTTTGACGGATTACAGCATTTTGTGCCTGCGTCCGAATATGGCAACAGCACGGCAAGCCGGCCATAGTTATCGTGTAGCTTCGCTACTTAACTCTCAAAGAAACCAGACTTTAACACCATTTACTCACTGTTTTCAACTCAAAAAAACGTAATGATTAAATCTGACAACTGATTTTACACCAGACTCAGCATTACTGCAGTTAGCCGGTAGAAGATAGATCTCTATCATAGGCTAAACATCTATCGTTTATATCGTGTACCGTATATATTGTGCATGACTAATACAGTAGTCCCTTAGCAGTTCGACTTTTGCAGACTCACTCTTTCGCGGGTTTTCAGTGTAAGATTGCATATGACACACGATTGTTGATGGGGAAAGACAGACCCCACCCCCTCCTTTCTCTTTCTCTGCTGTGACAGCCTCAGAAAGAGAAAGGAGGGGGCGGGGGCTGTCTTTCCCCATCACTACTGCTCAGGGAGTAGGGATGAACAGATCAGATGAACAAATGTAGAATATCAGAGAAAATGCTTAGGTGGAAAAATAAGTGAATCAGTTTAAAAAAAGAGAGAGAGTGACTGAGTGCAGCTCACTCAGGTATAAGGCAGACCCCCCCGCCTCCAACTCCCTCCTTTCTCTTTCTGGGCTGTCACAGCAGAGAAAGAGAAAGGAGGGGTGGAGGTGGGGGTCCGTCTTTCCCCATTGTGTCCCAGAGAGACGCAACAAGCAGGTGCACAACAGACAGCCTCGGAAAAAGAAAGGAGGGGGTGCGAGTGTGTGTGTGTGTGTGGGGGGGGGGGGTCTGTCTTGTACCTGAGTGAGCCGCACGAGCAGCATGGATTGTTCATTTAAAATAATAAAGCATGAACATTTTTTTTAAGAACATTGCAAGAGTGTGGGAAGGGTTTATAAAGCCTTAAAATTTATATAACTACTAAAATAAATATAAAGTCTGTACTTCACAGACTTTCACCTATCGTGGGGGTGTCTGGAATGTAACCCCCACAATAAGTGAGGGACTACTCTAGTCAGAGGTTTCAGCCTAAAAAATGTTGCATCAGGATAAATGAAAGAATGTTTTCATAATTGAAATTAGTTTTCTGGGGAAAGAAAGACCCGATATTCTTATAAGGGTTTAAAAATACATTTCCCAGTAATAATCTTCATGATTTCTAAAAAGTGTTCTATTTTACCTGGATTTACTGTTTTTTGTGCTTTCTGTTGTGCTGGAGAGGAGAGGCTACCTAAAGTGATGTGTAAATAACACTAAATCATGACAAAAAAAAATTTGAGGATACTCAGTTAGATATGATTCACATTTTCTGTTGAAATCTAAGTAAACAAACTCACACCACATTAATGTGTTCAGGGAATTGGTGGCGAAGCATCTCGGAGTCTAATGGACCAGTTTGCAGAAGTGCTGTTCAGTCTGAATAAGCACTGCTTCTCTCTGCTGACTGTGTGGTTAAAAGAGGCTCTGCAGCCTCCGGGATTCCCATCATCACACGTCTCAACTGAGCAGAAAAACAACTTTTCCCAGCAGATACTGAGGTAACACCAGTCTATGGTTGTTTTTTTACTAGAGTGCAAACATGTCAACCACTTTTTATTGTTTTTGTTTCTTTTGTTTTTACATACAGTATGCTTTGTCCTTTCTGTCATGCAGAGAGCGAGTGAACAAGAGGAGGGTGAAAGACGTCGTAAAGGAGTTCACACTGCTGTGCAGAGGTCTCCATGGTACAGAGTATGCTGCCGAATACTGAAACTTGCTTCATAAACTCCCACCTATCTGTGACCTTTACTCTCAGAGCAAAATAACTGGATGCCACAGCAACAAAGTTCTCTAAAACCCCAAGAAGATATCACAATATTAACGGAATGAGACTCCGTCCAGTTTCAGGATGAAACAAGGAACCACTGCAGCACAGACCTGCCATCAGATCAACAAGTCAACTCCCAGCAGGCCATCCTCTCTGCTCAGTTATAACTCTTTACTGATATTAGACTGAGTATTTCTCCCCCCATCATCTCTCGTCTTTGAAAGGTCCTTCGTTGGATGAATTTTAAGCAGCACTCCAAGCATGCTGCCTCATGCCTTCTTTTATCTCTGGCTTGTTTGCCTTTCTAGATCTTCTTGTGGTTCCTAGGTTTCTTTGCTGGTGATTAGCATCAATAGAAAAATGGCCGTTGTATCGAACATAGCTACTTGACATTATTTTACAAAGTTATTTAATGTATTTGTATATACACATAATACAACTTCAGTCCTGCTGCTGCTACTAGTGAGAAGACAAAAGAAGCTTGGTAGAGTGGAGATCCTGCAGGAAGAATGACTTTATTACAATAATATTTATTCCTGCTCATGCCTCTGTGATCTTTGCATTTGCCAAATTGTGAAATGTTTTTTTGTAAATGTCAATTTCTTTTAATAAAAGTCCTTTTAGGTGGCGTGAGTGGAGAAAGAAAGCCGAAGACCAAACAGTGAAATTCCTCACAGACCTGTGCGAATTGACCCTCGTGTACATAAAATCACAGCCGGTCGTGCTGCAGCCTCCTCGTACAAGACTCGTACACGCAGCTGTCCCTGGAGGGAAACACCACTGCTCAAAGTGAAAACAGGAGGGAGCGATGTCACTGACGGGAAGCTAAGCATGTATAGGAGTTCACAGTGGACTGCTTTCTCATCGTAACTGTGCAAAATTGTTAAGTTGTGGATATCAGGTGATCGCTGAACACTTGTACATTTGAGTCTCTGCTTTTTTCTCACCTTCATGTACAGGAGGTTTTATTTGCACAAATGTCTGTTCCCACTTGTTCAGTGCACTTATCTTGGACCTAGAGTACAAACTCATTATTTCCTCCTGTGTTTTATTCATAAAGCCCATTCAGTTGTTTACATCACACTCACTCATCCTTCAAAAGTCTCATCGAGAACATCTGCACCACCTCATATCACGAACCAGACTCCTCGGACATTAATATACTCACTGGGTCACTGCTTAGGAGACGACCAAAACGGAATTAGCTGATCATAAAAATGTACAATCCCAGTCTAAGAAAGCGACTGACACCGGCGTTCTGTGCTCTTCCATTTCACCTGAAGCACCTTGAAGTGATGAAATGGCTGTAAAATACACCGTCACGTGACCAAGACCAGCTTCATGTAATAACACTAAGCAATGAGATGTATATTGTGGTTTCTGGTAGAAATGTATCATTCTAAACCCTTCTGTTTTATCCAAGGTGCCTGCAGACATGTAGCATGTAAGTGTTGTGGGTGGGAGGGCTGGAGGGGACGACGACTGATTTAAGGACTGAAGGGAAGTGAGTAAAGTTTTTGAGTCTGACGTGAACTGTGACGTTCAGCATCAGTCCGATAGGTTTCGTGTTCAGTAAGAAGAGAAAACGAGCTCAGTTTAAGAGGGGTAGGAGGAATAAAATGTACAGTGTTTTTTGTAACTTGGTTTTATTTATTAAATATATCTGACTACAGTGCTTCAAGCCTTATGTATGCGAGTACCGTACTTTTTTTTTTTTCTGCATGTCCTTCAAAAACAATTTTCTTTTGTTTTGACTGCGAACATGAAGATTTGCTTTTCTTAGCCATGTGTGGTCGGTTTAGGCCGGGCTATTCAACTAAATTGTTCAGGGGGTCACAGTTAAGAGCTCAGTTCTTGTCATTAAGGAAGTTTGTTTTATGGTTTAAAATGTAGTTTTATTTAAAAATGAATCCATTGGTGGGCTGAATCGAGCTCACCTGTGGGCCTGATTTGGCCCTCGGGCCACCAGTTGAATAGCCCTGGTAAGAAGTTAGATCCAACACTAAGGGGATGCCAGATCCTATCATCACAGTGTACTTGACAAACTGATTAATTTTTTTTTCTAATCATTAAAAATTCCCTAAATAAAATGTTTGAAAGCTATATCCACTAAAATGTTTGAACAAGTTACAGTAATAAAAACTTGGTTGACAAACTTTGAGCGCACATTCTCAAAAATGTAAAGTAGGCTATGCAGTAAGGATGGGGGGCGGGGGGGGGGGTCAAAACAATGTTAACTCAAAGCAAAATACATTTTATGTAACAATCATGAAATATCAAAACAAAGTAATACTAATTAGAGGATCTTATGTAGAAAGTATCCCAGTCAAGATTTTGACGTGTCTTTGAAAATAAACACGAGGATAAAAACTTTCGTCTCTTCCGAACCAGAGCGCGCGAACTCGCGTGAAGGGCATCTCCCAGCCGCTCTGACGTCACGTGAAAACATTGTTTTACTCCTCGTTCCCTGGTGCGCATGCGTCAGTTAATCGCTTTACACGTGAGTGTAGTGGCTCCGTCCTGCTTGTCCATTTTCATCCACCGAACCTCAGCGAGACCAGAAGTTTCCTTAAAAACTCTTAAGCGCATCAGAAGATTTTATCCTAAATACGACTCAGACCTCTGAATCTGTAAGTTGAGCATGCACCAGGTCAATTTACGTTAGCTTTCTGCTAACTCTAGTTAGCTTACGGAGCAAACAACACGGGGAACTCCTGACAAACATGCATGAAGTACCTGAATGAAGTCACTGTGTCTTGGCATGTCATATACGTGTTATTGTGTTAGTTTAATGTTATAACTGTTGCATCACAACACTGACGCAAAGAGGTGTGTTCATGTTAAAGTATGAATGAGCTCATTTTAAACTCCGCTTCACTACAATGACATTTTATTCTGGAAGAATTTAACAAATTACACAAGATGCATGAAAGAAGTAAATATAAAATTTAATATTTAATTCAAAAGTTTAAATCTGTTGTGTGTGTATCAATACAGTTCAAATATTTGAGGAGCACAGTAGTTTGAAGCTTTAAAAAACACTTTTTACAGTTTGTGTGCAGTAAATTTGCTCAATGCCTTCCTGTTTGTTTTTAGTGAAGATGACGCTTTTACTTTTTTCTGTGATTATTTTTGTTCTTATGCTGCAAATGCTTTTTTTTTTTTCATGATCTCATTGCAAGATCATTAGCAAGAATTAAAAGCATCCAATATTTTTTGTAGTACAATGTCTAAACCAAGGTTACGAAGGTCTATTATGCTGTTGCTTCAACACATTTTAAACTGGGATCTTCTTATTGATCTGTTGAACTAATCTGGAGACAAAGGTCACGAGAGAGTTCCCAAATCACTGATCAGTTCAAACCTTTGACCCCTGATTTAAAACCCAATCCTTCAGATTATGTAGTTTGTATTTGTTTCTAGTTTACATTTTAAAAGGTCTACTTCAGCCTCTGAGCTGGATTAATTTGCCCATCTCTTCATCAGTCATGGCTGTGGTTAGGTTCTACAGTAATGAACCTCTGAACAGTCGAGCGTTGCAGAGGGCCACCAAGCTCTACCCACATCTGTCCATCCACACCGAGCTGTGCTACAATGTGGGACTGACAGGTGAGTGTGAGCGTGAGCAGGTATTCCCTTTGTGATTCTTCATGTTTAAGCTTGCTCTGTCATACACAACACCCAACCCCCCCACCCCCAGAAAGATAGAACGTTGTGTAAAATGCAAATAACAAACTTGTGTTTTTCAAATCTCATCAACTTGCATTTTAAACATAGTGGAACATAATTATTATTATATCACGTGTTCAAACTAACTAATTATACCAGTTTTTTAAACGTTGTTTTGAATGTGATGGCAGTAAAATATTTAAAAAATGTTGAGGCAGGGCCATGTGTACCACTATAAAGCATCCTGTCTACATTTAGCAGCTCTTTGTAAACATCTAGAAACTAAGGAGAGCAGTTCTGGAGGGTTTGGTGGAGACCGCTGCCACGGTTTTGTCCGATTCTAGCTGTTCAACAGAACTGGGTCTTTGTTGGATCCATCCATCCATTATCTTTACCCGCTTATTCCATTTTGGGTCACGGGGGTCGCTGGTGCCCATGTCCAGCAATCACTGTGCGAGGGGCGGGGTACACCCTGGACGGGTCGCAAGTCCATCGCAGGGCCGTCTTTGTTGGATTGTTTGCTGAATGGCAGCATATGTTAATGAACCTGTAAATTATTTTCTACATTGGTGGCTGTGGTAGCTTGGTGGTCAGTGCCGTGGTCTTGTAATCTTGAGGTTGCAGGTTTGAGCCCAGGTTGTGTCAGGAAGGGCATCCGGTGTAAAACACTTGCCAAATCTTTGATACGAGTTTGCTCGCTGAGACAACTCTTTAAAGAGGGAGCAGCTGAAAGAAAAGCAACATATACTTTTCTACATTGCTGGTGCCTTTCCAGATGTGTAAACAGCAACAACAGTAACAAGGGCACTAAGGCACCGCCTTACCATCAGAGAAGCAACACTTTGACCAGTTCTTTGATAGCAGGCTGTGGTCCCTCTTCACTTTAGTACGGAGGATGGTCCATGTTTTTATTTTTATTTTTTTTAAAGTGCTTTTTAATTCGCCTGACCAGAGAGTAGTTTTCCATTTTGCCTCAATCCATTTTAAAAGAGCTTTGTCTCTCTCCAGAGAAGACAATGGCATATCTGACATTTGGCTACTTCTTTGCACAATATAGCTTTAACCAACATTTGTGGATGACACAGCAAAGTGTATTTAAAACAAATGATAATGACATGATGGGGTATTCAAAGCCTTATATATACTTGGAGGAACATTATACTGTTTTCCCTACTCTTTCAGACAGATTTGACAGACTGATGAACCTCTGCCCAGCTTTATTTTTTAGAGCTTCTGCCTTTCTAAAATGTTCTTTTTATTGGTGTTGCCAATCAACCCAATTGGTTGCAAAATGCTCCCCTAGATGTTGATTTGAACCACTTACATTTACAACCCATGTCCTGTTCTTTTTTGATGTGTTGCTGCCTACTTTACATCACAACTTTTTTTGATATTTGGGTTGCATCTCCTCACTTTTAAATTAATCTATTTTTCTTGTTTCCTTTTGTTCTCTGCTGCAGGTTCTGAGAGTCTTGATGCTGAGCAGAAGGAGGTTCTCCTCTGGTTGTTTCGTCATCCCCTGCAGACAGAGCCGCTGTCTGACAAACCAAACCTGACGGAGGGCAGTGGGGGGAAGCTGGTGGAGATTGGACCAAGGTAATATTATTATTTTCTTTTCACTTGTGTTTCAGAAGAAAAGAGCTTTCACTTTTAATCTTTGATCAGAGCAGAGAACAGTGTGCAGTGTTAGCATAATTTGAGAAAATGAATACAGTTGATCATAAATGTATATCTTTTATTATTGGAATCTGTACAAGTCAAGTTTATTTATAAAGCACATTTAAAAAACAGCAGTTGTTACCAAAGTGCTTAACAATAAAAGTCAATGGCAGTAATTTAAAGAAAAAAAAATTAATTAAAAGCATCAAAAGAAAAACATAATACACAAAACAATGAAATATGAAATTAAATTTTCATTCAACCTTTAGTTAGACAGGTAAATCCCATTGAGCCTCAAGGACTCATTTACAAGAGAGACCTGGTTTCAACAAAGAATGATGACAACAATGCACAACAGCAACAACAATAAACAATTTTAAGAAGTCATACAGATTTTCACAAATCACACTGTGTTAGGTCAGTGAAAACAAGTGCGTTTTTAAAAGAGATTTAAAAACAGGAAGTGAAGTGGCTTGTCTAATGTGTGTGTGTGTGTGTGGTGGGGGGTGGGGGGCAGATTGCTCCAAAGTTTAGGGCCCGCGACTGAAAAGGCACGATCTCTCCTGAGCTTCATTCTGGTTTTTGGTACAACAATCTTCAACAATCATCAGTATAACAATGAAAAGAAAGATCATGTTTCCTCAGGATAAACTCCAAAGGGAGCAGATACAGTGAAAACAGAAGTGGTCCAAAACTTGAGCCCTGTGGAACCCCGCAGGAAAGATGTGTTGAAGCAGATAATACATTACCAACATTAACACAAAAGCTCCTGTCACTCCGATAAGAACAGAACCACTCTAATACTGCACCTGTAATCCTAACCCAGTGTTGTGACCTCGACATAAGGATACTGTGGTGAACAGTATCAAAACAAGTTGTAAGGTCCAGGAGCACAAAGATCATGAACTGACCAGAGTCATTTGCTAAAGAATGTTGTTTCAAACTATTACCAAACTGTTTCGGTGCTGTGTAATTATTTAAAACCCGACTGAAACGTCTAAAAAATCCAGTTCTCGTTCCAAAATGCATTTTATTGAGTAAAAACTATTTTATCCAAGATTTTAGAAAGAAAGGGACATTTTGAGATTAGAGTCACCAAAATGAAACATCTGAAGCTCAGCTTTCACTGTCAAACTAGACATCAGGGTTTTGTTGGATGAAAAACCACGGAATAGTTCCAAATTTTAACTGCTTACTATAGTAAATATACACTTAAGAAATAATAAACGTTCTAAATTGTATTTATTCATGACAAAATGATAGGAGGGTATTATGATGAGGATGAGCGTTCATCCTAGATTTTTAGTGAATACCTACCGGTACATAAAATCCCATGAAGGGCTAAAACTCAAAATCATAATGTATGATTTCAACTGGTTTCAATCAGGAACTAATGGATCCTAAATCCTTGCCTCAAAATATAATGCACGTTTATGTAAGACTATCTACAATATACATTTTTAGGCTGTTTGTGTGTACTCTTGTGTATCATATACATCCTAAAAGTGGAGGAATTTATTTCCTGTTTCCTGGAAATGACTTGCAGAGAGATTTATCGCTTATAGTTTTGGTTTTTTTGTTTCTTTTTTAACAACATAAATGTTTATTATTATGTTCAGCAAGTTCATATAGTTCTCTTGTTTGGTCCATTTTTTAGGCTGAACTTTTCTACAGCGTGGTCCACTAACACCGTGTCCATCTGCCAGAGCGCCGGCCTCACTGACGTCATCCGAATCGAGCTCTCTCGCAGGTTTCTTATCAAGGTGTGAACACGGTCACTTAAGATTCAGACGTTGCTCCTCATGTTCAAGCATCTGAAGTGACTCCTCTGTTCTCCTCAGCCCAAGAGTGGACAGAATGTGAGCGAGCTTAGTGGGGACATTCAAAGGCTGATAGAGTGTCTGCATGACAGCATGACTGAGTGTGTCTATCAACATCCCATCACCTCCTTCGATGTGAAAACAAAACCCCAGGTGGTGTTTGAGGTGGACATCATGGGGAAGGGTCGCGCTGCCCTGGAGTCTGCAAACAATGAGCTGGGTGAGGCTTTTGACACGTTTTCTGCTAATTCCTTCTTTCCTCCCTCGCTGCTTTTACTTCTCTCACTAGCTATGTGCAAGATTCTTTGACCAGACTGAAATGTCTTCAGATCATTTTGAGCTCTTTCAAACTTTCTAGTAGAAATGTTGTGTCGCTCACCGACCAGTTTTGCTTCCCCGACATGCTAATATTATTAGCATTAGCCAGGTGGAAATGCATGAGGTAGACAGGTTGCACATGCACTGTCAGGTCAGTTTTCCACAATCGGACAAAAATGAACAGATTAAGTGTTTACATGCACACCGTTCGGATTATGAATCGGCATAAACCATCCGTCTCGTTCGGATTAGAAATCTGATCTGTGTGGCCATTTAGCAAAACCGTCTTATGACTGAGCGGTTTGTTATTTTAACCCACTGATCAGTTTCTCTTCTCTCTTCATTCTTTCTCTCAGTCTTGCAGCTTTCAGTAAGTACACTGTGTGTTGCTGATGGAGGCCATGATGTCGCTTGATGCATGACATTAAAGTCACAAGATGGCAATGATGCTTGTCTGTCCTGTGTGTGGTTGGTTTATGTGCTTCACTAAGGCACACACAGAGAGTCCAAAGATCACGAGTATCCAATATTGACTTTCAGCCTTTAGGCACAGCCATTTGTCCAGAGTCTTAAAATCTTCAACCAGGACATCCTTGTAAAAGAGATTGATGATCTCAATGGATTTCTTCCTGGTAAAATAAAGTAATAAAAAAAAAAATTAAAAAGTGTAAATGGTGAGTTCTAGTTTATTTGCACAGAAACCGTTTTGAGGCAGGCGGATGTTTGTTGTTTTGTGTGTGTGTGTGCGTGCATGCGTGTGTGTGTGTATATGTGTTTATCGAATAAATAAATACTGGAAAAGTAGGGATGCACGATATTATCGGCATGGTATCAATATCGACCGATATTAGCGATAAAGTTAAATATGGGACATCGGCCATTCCATCAAAATAATTCACTGATATAAAAGACGCTGTTTTTGTACGACAACCCAGTGACAAGGATGCCTGCAGCACCAGCACAACATGATGACGTCACGCACACCGTTTAGATTTGTGAGAATTTACAAATTTGCACCGTTCGAGTGTTGTCATTGTGTTAGAGAAAGTAAATGTCATTAATAAATTTGACATTAAACGTAATTCAAGTTGAAGTGTTGCATCATTTTCAGCCCTTTTTTGGCATCTGCATTTGGTAGCAGGCCAAACTGACAAAGACCATGCAGAATAATGTATTTTAATTCCACAGCAGAGAAAGCTGTGTAGTCTCTGTAAGTAGATCTAAGAAAAATACATCAGTGTTGATATCAGATATCGGCCAAAAATCCAATATCGTGCGTCGCTGTATTTTTGCTGCACAGAATCCTTTCATGCAGTTTTGTTTGGTATTCATGCGTGTTTGTGGGTTGTTTACGTGGCAGGTTTGGCCTTTGACTCCTGGGATCTCGACTACTACACATCCATGTTCCAGAGGATTAAAAGGAACCCTACCAGTGTGGAGTGTTTTGACTTGGCCCAGTCCAACAGGTTGTCTACAAAAAGCAAATCAGCCAAACTGCTTTGTGTTGTATGTGCAAGTTTTGTTTAAACCACTGCAGTTTATTTATTTTTACTTTCTTGTGCTTATTTTGTGTGTGTGTGTGTGTGTGTGTGTGTGTCTCGGTGCCCCAGCGAGCACAGCCGTCACTGGTTCTTCCGCGGAAGAATGGTGATTGATGGGCAGGAGCAGAAGGAAACACTTTTCAGCCTTATAATGGGCACCCAGCAGCACAGTAACCAGAACAACGTCATCAAGTTCTGCGACAACAGCAGGTTGTGTTGGAACCAGCACAGCTGCCAGATCCTGTTGGCTGTGGTTGTGTCAGACTGACTGTGTGGAAACATGTTTGTGTCCAGTGGTATCAGAGGCCTGAAACTTGAGTGCATTTACCCAAAAAACCCATCCCAAGCAAGCCGATATGAGACACGACACTCGCTGCGACACGTCATCTTCACTGCAGAGACACACAACTTTCCAACCGGTCAGGACACAAAATATATTAGAGACAACTTCTCGTGTTTTTTTCCAAATAATAAAACTCCTCCCGTTATGGATGAACCTGTAGGTGTTGCCCCCTTCAGTGGTGCCACCACAGGGACCGGAGGACGTATCAGAGATGTTCAGAGTGCTGGAAGAGGAGGGCACGTCATCGCTGGAACTGCAGGATACTGCTTTGGAAACCTGCACATACCGGGTCAGGCACTATTTAAAAAGTGGCTCAGACAGGAGCATTTTGAAGGCTTGACGTTTTCTTACAGCAAAGAAGAGTCCACTCATCTCTGAGCCAGAGGCCACGAAGAGCTTCAGAAGTGATCAGTAAACTGTAAATCACTGATAAACAGTGAGCTGGAAATATTTGTCGAATTTGGGAAAAGTGGGGAAAATCTAGACTCCACCCCCAATAAATCATTTGAGGAAACTATACTTTTAATAAATATAGAAAAAAAACAGAAAGGATATGAATCAGTTTTTCTAGCAAAACAATGCTTTTATGACTTTAAACATTTAGTTCATCCCCTCAT